GAAGAGGTCCTGGACCTCTTCTGAAGGAGGGCGGGGGGTAAATGTTTCTCCGCTCTCCCGGGAGGGCTTTTAAAGGCAGGCAGGGGGGACAAAGACTTTCGCCCCCCGCCAGCCTTCAGAAGAGGTCCAGGACCTCTTCTGAAGGCTGGCGGGGGGCGAAAGTCTTTGTCCCCCCTGCCTGCCTTCCCAGGGGCTTTTAAATCGCCCCGGACAGCGGAGAAGTCCTCCGCTGTCCCGGGGCAATTTTAAAATGCCGCCCGCCAGCATTTTAAGATCGCCCCGGACAGCGGAGAAGCCCTCCGCTGTCCCGGGGTTTTTTAAAATGCTGGGGTGGGTGGGAAGAAAAGCCCTTGTCCCCCCCCCCCCCAGCCTTCAGAAGAGGTCGGGGGACAGACTGTCCCTGGACCTGGTCTGAAGTCAGTTTCCCTAGGAACGCATTAATTGATTTTCAATGCATTCCTATGGGAAACCGTGCATCGCAAGACGAAAAACTCGCAAGAAGAAAAAACTTGCGGAACGAATTAATTTCGTCTTGCGAGGCACCACTGTAACTGCCACTGACAGTTCAGCAGAGTGGGGCTCTGCTCTAGGGTTCTTCTAAACACCAGTTTACTTGCAACAGTGTCTGAGAAAGTTCTTTAGGCATCCTGGACAGCAGTATGTGGAAAGCTAAAAGCCAAGAGATGCTTAAACTACTAAACCTGTGACAAGACATGGAAAAATGTGAGAGGGAAACAATCCTAAGGAATTCACCCAGATACTCCGACACTGACTGTCACTATCTGTCTGCTGCATAGAAATCAACAAGGCAACTGAAAAAAATTAAAGCTCTGGCATGACCTCGTCTGAAACGCCTTTCCTCTCTCCCCACCCATTGTGTGCCACCAAGATTCAAGCTGGACAAACCAGGATATTAAAGAGACTTAGCTACAGCTTTGTAGGCTCTATAAAATAACCCAATGGACTGCCTTGAAGGCCATGTTTGTTGCTAATACCATTTACATCAATAAACATTTTGAAATGAGGAGTTTTACTGACTGGTAGACCAGCAACCTACTCCCATTTGTGCATGTGTACCACCCTGTAATTTAATTTATAATTCCAACATGCGGCCCACCAGGCTTCTGAATGGGGCCCGCTGACTGGGCCATACGGCTTGGGTCCTATTTCACTTAAGTTTACTATCCTCCACCCCCACAATTCAAGGAATTGATACTAACCTTCACAGTAGTACCAAAACTGGGAAATAATTTCCCCTGGTGCAAATCTAGCAGTATAGCAAAGCTCCTCCCAGTCTCCATCTACTGTAACTTCAAGCATATGCAAACAGGAATGCAAGTTCTCAATAACTCAGTTTCTTCCAACCAGTTTTTACTTGTTCTATTAAAGTTAATGTATGCTGTATACTGCTTTTCTGGGTTTTTTAAAAAAGAAATGTATGATTTATAAATATTTAAATAAACAAACAAACAAATGGTCAAAAGCCTAGGACTCCATCCTGCTTGTTGGAAACAGGAGTAGAACATACACATAAAAAGGTAAAGGACCCCTGACAGTTAAGTCCAGTTGCAAACGACTCTGGGGTTGCGGCGCTCATCTCAGTTTACTGGCTGAGGGAGCAGACGTTTGTCCGCAGACAGTTTTTCCGAATCATGTGGCCAGCATGACTAAGCCGCTTCTGGCAAAACCGGAGCAGCACATGGAAACTCCGTTTACCTTCCCGCCGGAGCAGTACCTATTTATCTACTTGCACTTTGACATGCTTTCGAACTGCTAGGCTGGCAGGAGCAGGGACCGAGCAACGGGAGCTCACCCCGTTGCGGGGATTCGAACCGGCAACCTTCTGATTGGCAAGCCCTAGGCTCAGTGGTTTAGACCACAGCGTCACCCGCATCCCTAGAACCTACACATAGTCTGCCCATTTAAAAAAATTAATGTCACTATTTCCCTTTATTTCACTTTAGATACATGCTTTAAAGCCCTACTAGTATATGCTGACTCTCGTGTGCTGGAGTAAAAGGCAAAGAGAAATTCTTTTTAGGGAATGGTTCACTTTCATAGAATCATTATATACAACAGTTAAGATAATCTACTTTGAGGAAGAGGCATAACTCAGTGGTAACGTTTCTTACAAAGGAGGAAAATCCATTGAACACAGTAGGCTTACTTCTGAGAAAACATGCACAGAATTACATTGTAAATGGCATTAACTATGTTGAAATTGGTTCCATAAAGGAACAGGATAAAAATCTTAGAAATATGATTCATCTCAGTGGTTCACTGAATGTATGAGTTCGGTTTGATGAGGAACTCACGTTTAGTTTGGAACAACCTAACGTTCGCAATGCCATCCGTTTCGACAACAGCAAACTGTCGGGCCTTGTGAATGCTTCTGTTGGCCTAAGCAGTTCTTCTGATACCTTCCCTGGCTGTGGCAATGAGAGCTGCTACCCACTGGTGCCTGTAATCACCTGAGAGAGCACAAGATGGCCCTGTCGGTTCTTGCTGCCTGAGTTGCGTCCTCAGTTTTTGCATGAAGTAACTACATTATCAAGCATGCTGCAGCTGAGACAGGTCTCTTATGATTCTTTAATTGGCCCCACTTCAATGTTTAGCTCTTAAAATAAGTGTGTATAATACGGTATATAGATTAATAACAAAACTCGTTAAGTCAAAAGGGTGAAACCCCTTTGCAGAGTGAGCAAATAGGTTCTCCATTACATTATTTGCAAACAACTCCACACCAAAACAACAACACAAAATGTGTGCAACTTTATTATTTGGGCCTTCTGAATCCTAACATGCAGCAGGCTCATTTAAGGAACAACAGACAGAAGCTGCAATATACAAAGGTTTTTTTGTTTAATCTCATGTGGGCACATTGCATGCAATCTCTTTACATAGTTTGTGTTTTTGTAATAGCTTCGGCTACACAAATCAATATTTGTTCATGTTCCAAACAACAGATCCGTGTAACACAAACACTCAAAAAGTATAGGATAAATATAAATACTTTCTTCTACCTTATTGCATCCAACATTGTCTAGAATGACATTGTCTCTGTCATCACTGTGAAAGTTCACTGCAAATTCCCTAGCTGTAAATTATGGTATCAAAACAGTTGGTTTGGTTTTTGCTATTGTGTTAGGGCACTGGGGGGTGGGGGGTAGGGCTGTAGCCCTTTGAGTGCTATTGGGCCTCTAACTCTCATCAGTCACAATCAGTACAGCCAAAAGTCAGAGACAATAGAAGCTGTAGTCTGACAATATCTTGAAAGCCACAAATTAGCCACTGTTAGAGACTCTTTATTTTAGTATTCCCCCGCTCCCGGTACTAAAAGTGCCTTACTTCTCCTCGTCACCAAAGCTGTCTTCTACGATTCTCTCAGTTAAATCAAGTGGTCCATCTCACATCTCAGAACAGCAGCCAGAAAGTAGTATTTTTAAAAGTCAAGGAATTTCAGAATTTACATCTTGAAAATCAAGCACTTTGCTAGGCAAACAGACTTTGGAACACATGAATTCTTTACACTTGTCTGTCTAGTCCGGTATTAGCAACCCTCACTAGCAGCAGCTATCCAGGGATTCAAGACAGCCCAACACGCAAGTTTTGTTGAAGTACAAATGCAGGAAAGTGAACCAAGGACCTTCAATGTGCAAAATACATGCTCTTCCACTGAGCTGCAGCTCAGCTACTTTCTGAAAGGAAAGCTATGCTCACGCTTGCACAACACATTTACTCAACCAAGATAGCAAAACACTTCCCATTCTATACTTGTCGATCTTTGCAATCTCAACACCACTACATGGAAGAACCTTTCAAATGTGCTTTCTGCCCATACAGAAAAGATTGTAATCTTACCTAATGCAATAAAGCTAACATGAGGAGCTACTTTTACCAGGCCATAGATATTCCACATTTTCAATTGGTCACATGACCTTAGTAAAAATCACTTTGGTAAAATTCACTTTATGAAATGCTGCAGCTGAGACATGAATTCACTATGGTTTGTTAACCTACATAGCACATAATCATTACGTACATTCATGGAGTGAAAACATCCCCAGAGCATTAAGCACTGCCTTAATGGATTCTTAACAGTAGCCAATGATGAAATAGTTAACTTCAAATGGATGCAGAAAGCAAGGTAAATATGGCCAAAAGGGGGGTGGGGTGGAGTGGGGCAATGCCCCCTGCCAACTCTGTGTGATTTCATTGGTGTGAATTTTCTGGACAAGTTTTATTTGAATTTTTCTGACATCCTAAATTGATTGAGATCTGTTTTAGCATGTTTATTTAACCTATTATTTAGTAAGTGCAACTTTTAAAATGCCATGTTAATTTTATATGCTGTATAAATATATCAGAGCTTTTTCCAATAGCCAAAGGCATGTCAACTGAAATTATGTTGCGGTGAGGGGTGTGTGTGTGTGTCAATAAAGCACACTTATTGTACTTTAAATTATACTTTCAAACCAAGTCAAAGCTTTAATAAATATATGCTTTTAGATACAACAACTCTATAGCAAACATGTCCCTAACATTAAATATTATGTGTGTAACAGAAAAGCTACTTTTAACATGCCCAAAGAGCTGTCTATTAATATATTATTATTTTCCTAGGTACAAGAAAAAGGTCATTAGAATTTTGAAAATGCTCAGTTTGAGTGGCATTATATTATTACTTAATTTTATGGATGTTTTCTACAGGAACATAAAAGCAATAGAATTTTTTCTCTCTCATATGCATGCTGATTCCACAATGTGAATAAAGGCAGTGTTATAGTTTAGACTGCTTCTAGTCAAGTCAGAAACACACACACACACACACACACACACACACACACACACAAAGTTATATATACCCCAAGCTTAAAATATGAGTTCCAATGAATAATCTGCAAGTACAAGACACACAACTTTGTTTCAATGGGGAAAAAATTGTGGGTCTGTTAATATTCTGGGAAGTAGAGATTTGCGGAATTAACATCACAGCTTACCTCTGGAGTGTTTTTCTTGAACTCACGGCTTTGTTCAATAAGCTTCTTTCTTGATTGTTCACTTTCATCTTGGCGGTTTGCCAACACTGTCGCTGTGGCATCAAGCTCCCTCTATCAATGAAAAAGAAAGAGGGACCATAATTTTAACCATGCCCGGATACTCTTGCCCCCTGCCCCCCCCAAAAGATAAAATTTGAAAACTCAGGTGGTGAAAGTAAATAGATCTCATTGTTTTAAATCCCTTAACTGAACCATTCTTTCCTTGCCACCTCTCATGCAAAGTTATTACAAGACTCTCCATGAAGTCGCAGGTCAATACAAACTTGCATAAATGACATTCCCCTATTTCCTTGGGTAAGGCAAGATAATTTAAGGCTGCATGACTCTACTAGTATTGCATTAGATCTACCTTTTAGGCATGACTTTTGACATTATGAATAACTACTGAATATCACAACTAATACATTCTTTGACCTTTCAGGGTTTTCAGGTTCTAGAGAGAAGACACAATAAATGTGGATTTTATTTGTATAGGAACTTGTTCTGCTGAACTTGACCCTTTTGGCCAATTTCTTCCCTTTCAGCTAATCAAGAAGACACAGAGTTGCTTTCCCTTTCTTATGAACTAATTCAACCAAACCCACAACAGGGGCAATTCCATTAGGCCCAGCCTTTGCCAGCCTGATATCCTAATAAGCTGATGGGAGTTGTATTCCAAAACACCAAGAGAGCAACAGGCTGGTGTACAATGGGGTAGAGAAGGCCTATCTTCTGGTCCTTATAATATCTCTACTACAAGTGTAGAAAACAAGCTGGACACACCTAGTAACAACAACAACAACAACAACAACAACAACAACGTCCTGTCCTCTTAAGTACCTACGTCCTGTCTTCTTAAGTACCTACTAGAAATTGACATAATACCTCCAATGTATAATAGTACTAATTTGAGAATGATGTGTGTGATGGAAAGAGGATAAATATACCAGTTGTGGGGAGGGAGGGGGGTCGTGACTCGGCAGAGTCAAAGGGAATGTTATGGTGCTATTACAATTTGTTGGGAAAGAATATGTAAGGAAAACATAAAAATTCACTTGGAAAAACAAAACCACATTTCAGTGCTTCATCTGAAAAGCTAGCTCCTTTTCAAAGCCACAGCTGGCCAAACATCACATATCAAATTTAACTGCTATGGTTTTTATATCACTAGTAAAGCTTGTTAACAAGGAAGTGATGTCTGAGGATCCATGACTGAGGGGTGGAGGGCGGAGAAAGATTTTGAGCCATAGACTCCAGTTTCTTGGGAGTTTCAGCCCCAGCACCTTTCTTTTTAGAATACTTCATACATCCCAGGAATACATGCTGAATACAATGTTGGTTGTATCTAGCCCAGCACTATGTATTCTGCCTTGTGGCGGCTCTCCCAGCAAGTAGGACTAGCAAAGACTTGAGATTCTTGAAAGCACCACCACCAAGCCAGCCCATGAACTCCAGATCACAAAACCAGACAGCAGCTTGCCAAGGAAAAGACAATTTTGCAACTTGCTTAATTTAAAAGTGTTTGGCCGTAAGATCAATGGATGGCAGCTGATCAAATTCTCTGATTAATTCATCCACTGCCTTGTTCCATGTTTGCTGGTTTTATGCACGACAAAAATGAGTCCAGGAACTGTGTCACTCTGCAATGTTGCTATGCACCAGTCACCTCACCGTATCTTCCACCTCTACCCAAGAGATTCCCTTACTTTTTGCACACTCTAAATAGCAGGGGACGTGTATTGGCAGAAATGCCCCAGCTGTGCTGAGATCCATTGCTGCGCCGCACTATCATGTTTCCCCCCATATCTCTGTCCATTTTATTTAAGCACTAAATTCAAGTATATGCACCACATTCCCATGAAGTCAATAGAAGTTGTGTTATGTACCTTGTGGGAGGATTTGCCTCTAGATTTGTCTTTACCTTTAATCGATTTCCTTTCATTCCAAATCTGATGTTCATGAGAAGTGAGAAAAACAGCTCACTAGTGAGTCAGAAGGAAAGAGAGCCCCTTCCCTCGCAACAAAATGTTGTGCGCGGCGGAGTGGCGCCTTCAAAGCTTTCCCCTTTTCAGTCAAAGAGAGTGGGAATGCCTGAGAAGGAGAAGGCATGTCTCTGACAGCTGACCTTAACCACAAGTTCAGACACTCTTTGGCAATCCCTCCTCCTCTTCACCTGCTGGCTGAAGCAGACATAATTTATATGGGATTGTGTACTTTCTTCCCTTTCCCAGAGCAAAACTGCACCCCAATCCCCTGCTGTCATGAAGTAGCTGTGGGATACATCTGCAATAACATTATGCATGCCCAGCATCCTGAACCAACTTCAAAACCTTATTAATAGACCTGGTTACGCAAGGAACCTGGTTGTCTGTAGCCATAGCAGATGTGCCCATTAACCACATTCAAGTGTTGCTCCAGAGAAGGCACATATGATCCCACATCCCACTGCCAGTCTCTTAAATGCTGCTTAGAAATTTGTCTCTCAGTTACACATACATCGTCCACATTGCTGCAATTTTCTGAAATGAAAATGATGCAAGTATCATTTAGCATTCTGTGACCAGATTGATAATATATTTTTGGAGTCATTTTGGGCTTGTTCCTAAAGGGTTTCTGTACTTTTGCAAATCTTGGGTGCATCTGAAGGCAGCCCTGTTTAGGGAAGCTTTTAATGTTTAATAGACTACTGTATTTTAATATTTTGTTGGAAGCTGCCCAGAGTAGCTGGGGAAGCCCAGCCAGATGGGCAGGGTATTAATAATAATAATAATAATAATAATAATAATAATAATAATAATTCGCTTGTCCCGCATGCCTACTACACAGATTTTGGTTACGTAATAACTCAACAAATAACATCACTATCACTTGGAATAAAACACAATCGGCAGTGGGGTTGGGGTTGAGTGTTTAAAATAGCAGAGACAGACCAACATAACATTTTCTGGACACTTGGAGCACTTGTATCTGGTTCCAATTCAATGGATATAGTTGTTCTAAGAGAAACTGACATATGAATGGCATTCTTAAGTTTTGGAGGGTTACAGGGGGGGAAATATCAATGCCACTGGCTCCATCAAACACAGAGAATTCACTCAGTCAATCAGGATTCTTGTGGTTTTAACAATCTTCTCACCCCTCTGAATCCTCTTGGAAACCAAGAGAAGTGGTGATGTCATAATGTTGGGCTTAGCTGTGTGGTCAGAACCTACACCTAACTGCCTCCTGACACAGCTATGTGTGCACAAGATAAATATTTACAACATGGGAACCACATGGCTCCCAGACATTCACAGAATCACACAGTTGGAAGGGAGCCCCAAGGGCCATGAGTCCAACCACTGCAATGCAGGAATCTCAACTAAAGCACCCATGACAGATGACCATACAACCTCTGATTAAAAACCTCCAATGAAGGGGAGTCCACAATCTCCAAGAGAGTCCATTTCACTGTTGAACAGCTCTTACCCTCAGATGGCCATCTAACTTCTACTTAAAAACCTCTGGTGAAGGAGGGTCCGCCAACTTCTGAGGGAGTCTGTTCCACTGCCAAACAGCTCTTACTGTCAGAAAGTTCTTCCTGGCGTTTAATAAAATCTCCTTCTGTGTAACTTAAATCCACCGGTTCAAGTCCTACCCTCTAAGAGCAGGAGAAAACAAGCTTGCTCCCTCTTCCATGTGACAGCCCTAGAGATGTTTGAAGAAGGCCATCATATCTCCTCTCAGTCTCCTCTTTTCCAGGCTAAACATACCCAGCTCCTTCAACCGCTCCTAAGAAGTCTTGGTTTCCAGACCCTTGAGCATCTTGATCGCCCTCCTCTGCACATGTCCCAGCTTATCAACACCCTTCTTAAATTGTGGCACCCAAACTGGACACAGAATAGAGTGATGCTATTACTTCCCTTGATCTGATTCAAACCCACTCAAGGGAAACTAGCACACATGGGCTGCTCATTCAGAAACAAGGGGGCACATGTAAGACATACTCCAAGTGACAGTATCCTACTTTAGCTGCATGTAATTAGCATTTCTTTATCAATTTATGAACAATACAGATGCCAAACAAAGGTCGGTGGATGTTTATCTTGTGTTCTATAATCTCATTCCTGATTAGAACAACTTGATTCAAATCCTCCCAATAATGCAATACGATTGATAAATTTCATACATTTTCTAGTTTTTTCAATATTTAGCTTTTTTTATCACCACACGAGCGCTGGAGCAACGAAAAAAAAGAAAAGAAAGAGAGACCCTGGAATCTATCAAAATCCTGCCAGCTGTATAACAAGGTGCCTCAGGGGATAACATACTTTCCGTCCCAGGATTACAGAGATTCAAATTTAAAATATTCCTCTCACCATAAAAGAAGATGTGCCCACCTTTTAAATTCATTTTATTTTGACAGCCTAAGGCTCAATTTCTGTATACAGTTACTTAAGAGTAAACCCTATTAGGCTCAGTGCGGTTGGCTTCCTGGTTCGCAGCGCTGAATATAGGGGGAAGTAAGGCAGAATGTCAACAGACTTTGATGAAATTCTGTAACATATGGGGAAACACTATAAAAAAGAAGGAAATCCTTAACAGTTGGACAAACCAGCCTTGGATGCATTTCAGAGTAAAGAGCCCAAAAAGTGTGTGTGTGTGTGTGTGTGTGTGTACACATGCACATAACAGAAACCAATGTGTCTAACAGCTAAGCAGAAGGCCTTTAAAAGAATATTAGCAATCTGTTTAAAAAGCAAGAGCTCGAAATATACCCCCCCTAAAGGGAGGGTTAATCAGGAAGAAAACTAGTATATGTGCAAGGCAATAATTATTTTCAAACAAAAAGGCAGAAAGAGATAACAAACACACTGAAATAAAACAACACAAACTGCAAATTTCTAAAGAGTATGTTACGTACTTGGGACCTATGAAACCTTTGAGAACAGCACATTTCTATCAAGTGGGTCTAGAAGTGGGGCAGGCACAACCCTGGTTCCTGTTAGCTGCCCAAGATATCTTGAGCCAGTTGTTGAAAATATCCACTGCTAACATCAAGACTCACACAGGAAATCAGAAACATGAGCAAC